GTACGAATCAAAACTAAACGCACTAAGACAACGTGTGTGCACATTTTACGACAAAAAATCTATATCAATAATATTTATCGTGTAATTCAAAATGTAGTGATATTGTTATCATGTAATGGTTTATAAGAAGCATGTTTGTATGACTGCTTTCAGCCAAGCTATTTTTGTAACATGGACGCTGTTGATCCTGATCCATCGGTGTTATTACTTAACAAAGATCTCACTTCACTAGAGGAGATGGCTAACGCTTGTCTTGCACCACACAAATTCAGGTATATTCACTTTTCATCGCAGGCTGGTCTATCCTGCTGTTTTTCTCTTTTCTATTTTATTCGATTATCATTTGAATGATCGTTTTGCTCAGAGCTGATTCTCCAACGCAATTTCGTCCAAGTTAAAAGCAGGGTTACTTATTAGCTTCACTGCATAATGTAGAGGCCGGCGCATTTTGAACAACCATTCTTTCAACTTTAAGTTATCAGCAATGATGAACCGTATGCGCGGGACTTTTAACACGTTTCAACAATGTTTCAGTCAATTTTTAAAAGCGTTTAAAATTTGTCTCAACATCCATTCAGCATGTGTTCTCGAAAAYATTGAATGGTATGTTGAAGTCCTTTGAGCACTCACTGATATGTGTTACAAGCGTTTGCGCAGTATGCACTGTAGTTACGGTGGAGACATTACATTGATAGCATTACACAAACGTGCTCAACTTTGCCTTTCAACTAAATGAAACAAATGTTGAAACCGTTTGCTTCAAGCTCAACATTATTTCAATCAACGAAGTTTGTAAGGAACAAGATTACATTGTTTTTAGCATTTGGTAGTCTACAAGGGCCTAATTCCCCTTTTCTTCTTTCTCTTCATTCTATATTTTTCTTCAGTTTTCTCTTTCTTCGTTGTAATTATCTTTTTTTTTTCTTCTGTAGGTATTTGTTTGAGGGTCTTGGTCATCTCGTGTCTTCAATTCTCATCTCGAATCTTTCTTTCATYAAGAAAATGAACCAAAACGGCATAAAGAAAATGTAAGTCAAGGATCAAACTACAAAGATCTTAATACCATCTTTTTGCAAGAGAATAAAACAGCGGTTATTTGCTTTTAATTCGAAAATGGAGTATTGTACTGTGGAAATTGAGTGAAGAGGATGGTCAAATACAGGAGGAGCCGATGGGGGCTGTTCTTCATATTAACTGCTCTTGTACAAATTTTTCCTGGGAAAGGGATTTTGAGCTACATTGTCGACAATCTCACAAGCAAATGTGCGCCTTTCTTTCTTTAAAATAATTTCCGGCAAACGTTTTTAATATCCATAAAGCTTATATAACATTTTTACAATACTTTTTTTTAATCGAAAGGAATTATTTTCACTTACAAACGTTTTTATGGTCAAAAACGGCTTATAGTATTTTTTTGTTGTTGAAATTTTTGCAAAAAATCTTAGAAAGTATTCCTTGCCTGGAAAGTTGTTTTTTCCAGAATTTCTCGCTGGCAACCAGAATTTCTCCCAGGAACCTGTCGGCTCCTCCTATTAATGTGGCATTTTCTCTTTCTTTTTCAGGTGCCGTAATATTTTTGTCCTTCAGCAAAACCTGACAAACATCACAATGTCCAGAGAAGGTGACCTGGACAAGGCGCGACAGTATTATGAACTTCTGTATCTAAATCAAGATGTGAGTTGTATCACAGTTAATAGGCGCACATTTATAGTCTCCTAGCAGCCATGTTTAGTTTCTTGAAAGTGTTCGCGTAACCGAAACTAAACATGGCTGCGAGGACACTATGTATTTACGAATGTCAATGAGAAACAACTTTAAACATTATAAAGCCATCGTTTTGAAGTCCAATTGCTATTTTTCCAGAAATCGCGAAAAAAGTGCACAAGGGCAAAACCAGGATTTTCATTTGGGGGTATACACCCCTAGTACAGAATATAGTCAATAAATCAATAAATTTTATTATTTCTTGCAGGACATACTAACTGTGATATTAGAACAAGGAGCAAAGTACAATGAGATTGAGTACAACAATATCCTACAACTACAGGCYAGAAGTATGACAGTACGTGACAATGAAGCTATACAACATAGACTAAAACGACTGAAAGAAATCCTCAAAGACCAAGCAGTAGATATGAAATAGCTAAGTAGTTATACATTAGAGAAAGACCAATTTTGATATGAATTATTTTCATTTGTTGATATCTGCCCTGCTCTACATGTTTCACAAGAGTCACGGGCTTCCTGTATTTTTCTGGTCAATTTGACCATCACTAGGACCATATGACAAAGGAAACCCAAACGAGAATAAGAGTTTCCTAAGGTGGAAGAGGGAAAAGGCTAGTGGAAAAGCTGACTGTTTTCAGGGTTTAYGACACACACAAAAAAGTCAATGAATGCTGTTGTCAATTGTACAATTTACCAGCAATTTAGCATGTCTCTGACTGCCTTATTCATCCTGTAACAAGGGTTTTTGTGTAACTGAAAAATATTATTGACAACTATAATCAGGTGATATTGTTGCAAAAATACACAAATATTAAGAAATTAAAACCACTGAGAGTAAAATTTTACAGGACGTGATTGRAATTCAAGATAATGTAGATCATTTTAAATAGAATGGGCAAGTGAAATAATTATAGTGTATAAAGTAGATTTTGACCTACATGTAAAATATACCTACAGTAATAGACCTAAATATACTTTTTGAAAAAATCATTGAAGGATCTCAAACCTATGATATGATCAAAGCCAACTCTSAATGGGAGTTTGGTRCTCAYTATACCATTTCTTGTGGAGAAGTCATTTATTCAGTACAGCACTGTTATACTGTCAGTACTTGTAATAATTAATTGCTCTCATATGCAACCTTTCAATCTWAGCTTGATGATGTAATCTTTTGGGACCTGACTATCTTTTCTTCAAATATGTGTATAAACAAATGAAATGAAATGAAAGGAATCAAATTACAATGTTAATTCTAATGTCTGTTACGTGGATTTTATTGAAGTCCAGGGTCAACCTGGTGGAAGTGTGCAAAAACAACAACAACAACAACAACTTTTTTACATGAATCGTACATCTGATCTGATGTCTAATATTTCCTTTTSAGCTAGGCCATTTMAAACCATTGAATTCCCTGTTTTTTGGCACTCATGGCAATAAGAACAAAGGGTATTGTGCCTTAACAGCCTACTACTGCATCCATATTCCCATCATTAATACTGAAAGATTCATTTTGTCCTAAAAATATTATCAATCAATGCTTACTATTTTACAGCTTTGGCAGACTCCGCAATTACTTTTTTCATTTTTTCAAACATATTTTTGGCGATATCTATATGTGAATTACAGCAGTTTTCTACACATTTTTCAACTTGTTGTTGATAAACTGCAATGTCTGCTTGACTAGTTTTTGTGTCAACTTTATCTTGTACTTTATCTTGACATTCTTGTGCACACCGACTTATACGACCCTGAAAAGAAATAAAATRTATTTTAAAACTGTCACATTAACCAAATTCTAACTAAACCAATTACTAACAAACTGTTGCAAATACTTATTGCAGCAGTTTAATAGTTGTTTTGTTTGRTTCAGTTGCTTTTTGCCACTGACCAAAAGCAAAACTTACTAATTAACAATTAGACCTCRAGGTCGAGTAGACTACGAGCTAATAGCCCATGAGGCCGAGTCCGCGAGGCCGAATGGGCTATTAGCTCGTAGTCCACGAGRMCGAGAGGTCTAATTGTTTTAGTATAAACATACTAATCGGTCAAATAATGAAAACAAATTGAAATATCCTTAAAATAATTTATAATTTATTTATTTTGATTTTCTYGCGAGTGGTCTATCACAAATTAGACCATTAGTAGAGTAGCCAATCACAGCGCAGTATGAGTGATAGACCATTAGTATGTTTAAACTAACATTCAATATCATTGATGATTTGACAGAGTACTTGCCTACCTGAAACCTGCCCAATTCTTGTTCAATATATTTATGCATTTCTTGTAATGGCTGAAAACATCTATTCATACATTGCTGTAAACCATCTTTGCTGAATGTTTTATTCTCACAGCATTTTGAAGCACATATATGTGAACTTCCCTGTTGATATACAGTTCAATATATTTTTTATAATTCATAATTTCCTTTAGCCTATGGATACCAAGTATTGTTGATAGTAATACAGTGTACAGAATAAGGTATAGATGAGTTCATGTTTAATACAGAATTGTAATGAGGGTTGATCAAAAAAACAGCCGAATACACACACTATACATTTACATTCAATACTCAATACACACACTATACATTTACATTCAAATGGGGATAATACATGTATATGTTGTATTGTAACATTAATTTTCATGGAGAAAATGTTTTCTCAAGAAAGTAAGCTTTACATTGTACTTCATTATCATATTGCAACTCAAATACAGAGATGTCCGAGCATTGCCTGAAATTTAAATGTATACAACTGTATGACTTCCTAATAAGTAGCTTTCTACAACTTTATTTACAAAAACATCGACTCCCGGCTGTTGTGCAAGAGCCGGCCGTCACGAGGAAGCTCGAGAATGCAAAACAATCCCTATCATAGGGAATCCTAGGTTACAACGTACAGCTCATAGATTGTAGATAGCCTGATTTTCWTACCTGTATTGGTCTAAGRTGATCGCGTTCAATGATTTCAAGAGATCTTTCTAAGGTATCCTTCACACGTGCTTCACCGGCGGCGGCCATCTTGTTTCCTTGTAATTGGCGTTGGGCTTCCTGTGTTGAATGTACTATTGCATTCTGGGAGCTATAGAAAAAATAAAAGTTTGGTATCTTTGAAGTATTCTAGATTTTTCTAAAACTTGATTCAACTACTTTTTCTATTCATAGCAAAAGATGGTCGCAAACTGAATGGATTTCGAATTTTGAGTATAAAAAGAATAGAATTTTGGGTATAAAAAAGTGATAATCCGAGTGGGGCCTCAAGGGTATTTTCAGAGACCCCGTCGGTAATCACATGTTCGGATTTAGTTGTATGAGTGTCTCGTATCTAGAAATCGTGCAGCGACACACGTCGACTTTGCTTTGAATTTGAATGCTGGGCGATAGAACGGGGTAGTWCATAGCGAATCGTGAGGGGCTAGTGCGTTGTGGGTAAAAATCYTAACTTATGAGTGCGCTTAATGAATCATAGGAAAGCATAAGTTATCTAGCCGTAGACAATCTCCAACGCCACCAACGTATCAAGAGCTTAGTTCAGGTATTCTAAARTTRACAAAGTGACCCTTTCCCACCTGTCGCCATAGCAACACATTTSAATGGGACACTAGCAACAGGTGATGAATGGCCTCAGTTTCATGCCAACACTTTAAAACATTTTAAAGTCTTTATCTACCGAGGATTAAAAGACGGCCATGAATTTACTCTGGTTTTTATCATTTCTTAGTTTTTATTTTATTAGCCAAGTTGTCTCTGATACTACAGAGTCACTGGACAAAGGTATGGCGTACTTAAACTTTTGATTTTTAAAGTCTTGATTTACACAAGGTTTACTTCCTTACAGGATGGGGAAATGAAATCAAATGGATGGGTCTACAACAAGCAAAAACAGAAGCTACAAAAAGGTACACCATATTACAGTTTTTACATCAATATTTGGAGGATTAATTTAAACACTTTTTGTGGAAATTCTGGTTTTTATCTGTTTAAATAATGAAGATTTTCGTAGTTAGCCACCGGCTTCCAAAATTGATATAATTGCAATTAAAAACATTCTAGAAAAGCATCTGCAACAACATATTTTCTAATACTTTTAGATTTATATTGTATCGATATCGTTAGAGAATCGTTCTATTTGCTGATCATGATAAGAATGTAAAAATTGCGAAATAAGGGGGAAAAGGATCGTCGAGGATGACGGCCATTGTCAGTCACATGGCTTTAAGATGTGGCTGGTTTGAATGGCTCTTGATAACAATGCCATCACCAGACGAATTATAAAAGCGTTAACCATTTAAAGTGCATCCATATATATACAATTCATGTCTTCTCCGTAAATAACATATTTTTGTAAAAATACAGAAAAAAACCTTCGTTTTCAAGTAATTCATATTATTGCAATTATAACTTTTTTTTACGGATTTCATTTGTAAAAGTARCAATAAGAATAAATGTAGACAAATGGAAATACTTAATTGTTCTTGCGACATTATTTTGTCTTTATCACTGATTTAAACACCAAATCATGAAATATCTAAAAATGATACGTGTCTAATGGAAGCCGTGTGCTGTACATTTCTTCAAATTGCAAGTCTCTCTTTTCTTTACAGCAATAAGCCTATCATGGTTCTTATCACTAAAAGCTGGTGTGGAGCATGCAAAGGTAAGAAGGCCAATCTGACTCTCTCATACGACCTTCTACGCAGCCGAGAAAATAGTCTCCTCGCAGCCGGTCTTAGTGGTGGGCTCCCGAGGGACAGGGAGCCCGTCAATAATTTGATAATTTCTATAGCGCCATCTAACAATGACAGAATCCGTCACTAAGAACGGCTGCGAGGAGACTATTCATAAAACTTTACCGGGAATAACAGTATCGTATGCCGCGAAGTTTAGGAATAGACCCCTTGCAGTTCATGGGAGTGCAGTTCCAACAACATCCTTTTGCTTTGTCCTTCAGATGAAGCTTCCGTGACTTCCATGCTACAGGTGTATAGAGCGGATTTCGTATGACTGTGCAAAAACACGGTTCTTTCGCGCTGTGACCGTACCGTGCCGTAGCGGTGATGTATTGTTAAATCTTTATTATTACTTGTAATCCTAGAAGGCGAGGTACCGTGACCGTGCCGTGTCCGTGTTGTGATCTGTGCCGTTGCACAGTCATACAAAATCCGCTCTATAATCGTTGAAATCACGTAGTAAAAACAGTTTTCGAAGACTGATTGCTTATTAGAAAAAAAGTTTTCCTTAAACTACCGCCCCATCCCTTGCCTTTCCCCAAGAAAAGAAAGCTACCGCCCCCTTTCCATGAAAATGCGATGTGCTGCCGAATGGTGAACTGATCTGTGTAACTGATGACTTTGCATTTCAGCACTGAAACCAAAGTTTGCAGAATCGAAAAACATTGCAGCTCTAAGCAAACACTTTCTCATGGTTCACCTTGAGGTGAGACATACAACATAATGCTATCAAAATATCAATCTAATATACTTATTTCTCGTGGAATTGCTTTGTAATTACTAGTGCACGACTTGCGTTGAAATCCAAACATTGTGTTTATAAACAGTTTGTACGCGCAGCCGCTAATTAATGCTATGAGAACTTGTACGTGGAAGAATAAGCCCTAGTATTTTCAAGGGCAACCATTCGTGTTTGTTACGTCATCAGAGTCAAAACGTCTCTCGCCTGCATAGACTTGTGTTGTTAAATTTAACCTCATCCAGCAAACTTTTGACGCCATTTCTTTCGTCTCTGTTCCTGTCTATTTTGGTTTTGACGTCGAAATATCTCTCACTTAAGCAATAATAATTGTATTCATCTCTTWAAGGACGAAGAGGAACCCAAAGGAGAAGAGTTTCAAGTTGATGGAAGATATATACCGCGAGTRTTCTTCCTTGGTAAGCACATGTCAACATRCTYTCTTATTTACACGCTTCGAACGTCCTGCATATCACCTTGACTGACAAAATCCTTACAACTGACGTCTTGATCTTCTTGTAGGTGATAAATAAATGAAAAATAGTTAAATGAGCAAGTACTAAGTGAATGAAACAATAGTGAGCCTTAACATGAGACGGCTTCACTGTAGTTCCYATTTCACAACCTCAGGTCGTCGCATAAAGTATTTGCCAGTCCACCCAGAAATGTGGGCATATATTGATAWTGCGCATGCTCTAATATGATTTTGGACGTCCCACATGGTTTAGTTAACTAATAAGTCGATATTAGTTGTAATTCCTACCGAATCAATGTTATTCCTAGTTTTTTTTATTGTCTAGAGTCCAAAATTCCGTGAATAGATATTGTACTAATATACATTAGGACGCTCAAATTGCATTGTTTTCTTTTATGTCTATTTGACTATCACACTTTAATAGTCAAATCTTGTTTCACGGGTTTAATGACTTCACTCTAATGTATACGCGATTCGATTTATTTGGCTAATTATTTTTTACGCTTTTAATGTTTCCGCTAGCTAATGTCAATATCATTATTCAGGTGCAGATGGTAAAATTATGAAAGACATTATCAATACAAATGGAAAACACGTCAAAGAGTTCAARTACTATTACGGCAAAGTATCTCAAAGTAAGCAATAATAAATCTATAGTGGTCGATATTTTGGTTGACTGATTACGCACAACAGAAATGAAGACGAGGYTCTGGTGACACAATGGATAATTGTTTTGTTCCCCTGAGCCTCGTCTTCAGTTGTTTTGTGTATGGTTATGCAGYCAGAATATCGAAAGTGAGCTATTTGCGCGCGTTAYARCAATTTTCGTTRATATATTGACGGCGCAACAATATGCAMTATTTTTTATTTTGYTCCTAAGTGTCAAAGAATCCCAACCATMCACAATACAGCGCGCTCKTGTGTTATTGTTTACATACGTTTAAATTGTGAATTATTGTGTATTTTAGTTGTCAGCAGTATGAAGACAGCTCTCAACAAACTCAACATCTTGTTCGAGGATGGATTGTCTAGAGGTATTTAGAACCCCGTAMAACAAAACTTCTTAGAATAAAAAAAATACATACTGTTGATAGTACGTATAAAAAGTTTTTTTGCTTGTTTGCTTATTTATTTGTATTTTTCGTAGTTCATTTTATAATGATACCTATTTTGTCTTATTAATTAGTTTGTTTTCAATATTTCGTGGTGCGTATAGAAGTAGGAATGAAGTGGAGAATGCGACAATCTACTTAGTCTTCGATTAGGCAGAAAAAAATCAAGGCCTAGATCGGAACGGGATTCGTACCCATGACCTTTGTTTTAATATGTTTTCTTATAATTTGAYGATTTTCTCGTTTTATTTGTTTTGTGATTTTACTTTCAAGAAATTGATATACATGCGTTTAATATGAATGATAGCGCACGTTTCGTTTGTAGGATCTCATGTTTTTTTCCTTACAGGATTTGGTGATAACATTAACTGGGTGGCGTACAAAGATGGCTTACAACAAGCAGAAGAAAGGTAAATACCATTATTCAAGTACCGCTTACTATTAAGAAAGATTTGACAAGCTTTCGCCGGACGCCGTCATCATGAGGTCATAGCCTGCTTAGTGGGGAGTGGCCGGCCGAGCGGGGAGAGTCGGCCCTCCCCAATCCCCTTAGGGCCGCTACGCAGGCTTTCAGGTCACGAGTAGCATTTTATATTTACAATGTAGTTTCGTGACCTGATGATGCCAGCGTCCGGCGAAAGCTTTTCAAAACYTTTTTGACTTTCGGCCCTCATCCATTATCCTATACATAATGCTAATAAAGCGGCGACAACTTCTTAATTCTTACGATGGTCCTACGTTTTAACCATTGACATCTCCGTGACCTTGCATTTGTTTATGAATCAGTGTACTTCTGTCGATTGCTCACCAAGTAAACCAATGTAATCTATCACTGAGTATTCATTATTAATTATAATCCTCTGTTTTTCAGTAAAAAGTCGCTTCTTTTGCTCATACACAAGAGTTGGTGCGGGGCCTGCAAAGGTATTTGAGTGAATTTTAATTGAATACTTATACACTATCAAAACGCGGTACACAGTCAGTCTATATGCGAAATGATACATGATTCGCACGTGACAATTCAAATGCGTCATTTACAGGCAAGGCTAGTTTACACAGATTAAATCAGTCTTT